CTATGTAGAAGAGGTATTTATCATCTGATAAGTCAGGGTTGCAAATAGTCATCTGGAAAACATTTCTGAGTGACTTCTCTATGGATTTTTAAAATTAAATTACTTACGGGCTGGGCACAGTGGTTCACACCTATAATCCCAGCACTTCGGGAGGCCAAGGCAGGCAGATCACTTGAGGTCAGGAGTTCGAGATCAGCCTGGCCAACATAGTGAAACCCCATCTTTACTAAAAAAACAAAACATACAAAAATTAGCCAGACGTGGTGGTGCACTCCTGTAATCCCAGCTACTCGGGAGGCTGAGGTAGGAGAATTGCTTGAACCGGGGAGGCAGAGGCTGCAGTGAGCTGAGATCACGCCACTGCATTCCAGCCTGGACAAGAGTGAGACTCCGTCTCAAAAAAACAAACAACAACAAAAAATTAAACAGCTTCAGCTAAACTGTTTCTTTCACAAATACTATTTCACACCTTCTTAAAGTTCTTAAGCTTTGCCCTTGACAAACTCCAGAGCATTTCCAACAAGGCCCTGACCAGCGAGGCCCAGAGAATGTTTGTCATAGTTCTTCTTTATTTATTTATTTTTGAGACAGAGTTTTGCTCTTGTTGCCCAGGCTGGAGTGCAATGGCACAATCTCAGCTCACTGCAACTTCCACCCCCTGGGTTCAAGCAATTCTTCTGCCTCAGCCTCCCGAGTAGCTGGGATTGCAGGCACTTGCCACCATGCCCAGCTAATTTTGGTATTTTAGTAGAGACGGGGTTTCACCGTCTTAGTCAGGCTGGTCTTGAACTCCTGACCTCGTGATCCACCCACCTCGGCCTCCCAAAGTGCTGGGATTACAGGTGTGAGCCACCGCGCCTGGCCCTTGTCACAGTTCTTAGTGAGCTATAAGGTCAACATGGTAAAGCACTAGTAGGAATGTGCTGGAGTGCGCCAGGTTTGGAACAGCCTGGGCCAGGCCATGGGAGACACTCTTTAAGAAAAAGCAACAGTATGCAGCGAATGAGGCCTTGGAAAGAGGCCTGCATAAGTAAAGAAGCCTGAAGCATCATTAGCTTCCCAGTAAAGCCACCTCTAGGGCTGTTACCTTTGTTTTAAGTTAGCAAAGGGATGTTTGCAAATGGAAGTCTCCGAAGGTGCACCCAACTCTGCATCAACCCCGACAGGGAACACAAGCTCTTAGGAGCTTAACCGACCACTGCGACAGCCACCTTTCCGAGAAGGTTCTCATGGGTGGGCAAGAGCTCTTTGCAGGCTTAGGTGGCAGAGAGGTGATCAGGGGAGAAGAAAAGGGCCAGCAGCTAATGGGGTAGTGCAAAGTGAAAGAGTGGATAAGGGGCTGGGGGGGTGGAGACAGAGAGAGTGGAGGGGAGCCCACCTGTCCCCAGAGAGGGAGGGTGAAACAGAGTGGAGAGGAGCCCCTGCCCTCAGGCTCCTACTGTGTGACTTTGACCATGGCCTCCGGCTCCACCCTCGAATATATTTTTCTGTGAGTCTGTGAGAGTCCATCAGAAGTACTTGGGCTGATCCCTAAAATAGAATTTGCCAATTAGTCTTCAGTGGAAAAGGCTTTCTTCAGGTCAGTAGAGACAAGCAAATCTAATTTGCAATTTCCTTGTTCCTTAGAGCCCAGGGGGAATGTGTGGACAGAAAGCATTAGTATGAGTGAGGGCTCCAGAGGGGAAGCTGGAGAACAGGATGCCTTGGCCCTGGAAGGGCAGGCTGAGCCCGGGGCTCACTCCCAGTCCTGGCCTGCTGGAGGCTGTGCCGAATTACAGGAAATGGGAGTGCTGCAGCGGCTCAGCGGCCCCTGTCAGTGAGAATATGAAGCAGTGATGTTCAGAAAACATTCTTTGCAAAGCACTGCCTGGTATAGTTTCCAGGAGATGAATGTTTAATCAGCGAGGCTGCTCTGCCCCCGCCTCTGCCCTGCCAAGGCTGAGCCCATGTCCTGAGCAGAGCTGACAGCGTTGGAGAGCGCCCGTAGCCTCCACAGGCCACAGCTGTCTGCAGCCTGACAGCCTTGCTGCTCAGTAGCCCTCACCAGAAGGGACCTGCACCCTAAGCTGAAATTCCCCGAAAGAGCAGAGAAAGCTACTCTGCTGTCCACATGACAGCTTGGAGAGGCACCGCTGGGGCGCAAATGATTTTGGTGGTGATTGGAAAAATGAATACATTTAAGGATTATTAACGCTTCACAGTCAGCCTCTTCCAAGTACTTTCTTTCTTTTTATTTATTTAGAGACAGGGTCTCGCTCTGTCGCCCAGACTGGAGTACAGTGGCACAATCTCGGCTCACTGGAACCTCCGCCTCCTGGACTCAAGTGATTCTCCTGTCTCAGCCTCCTGAGAAGCTGGGACTACATTCGTGTCTACTACTACCACCACGCCCGGCTAAATTTTGTATTTTTTGTAGTGATAGGGTTTTGCCATTTTGCCCAGGGTGGTCTCAAACTCCTGAGCTGAGGTGATCCTGCCTGCCTCAGCCTCCCAAAGTGCTAGGATTATAGGCATGAGCCACCGCACCCAGCCCCCCTTCCAAGTAATTTCTAATGCCCTTTCCTCTCCTCCAAATAACCCCACTCCCCCCAACCCCTGCCTCACTTTGGCACCCTTCTCTCCCAAGCCTTCCCCAGCTTCTCAGTGTCGTGCAGTTCCACTGCCCGGGATGACGCCACAGAGGATCAAGGACCTTCCGTGAGCCTTCCTTACCCTCTTCACAGCTCCACTGTGAGCTTTCCTCTTGCCTAGGACCAAAGTCTTTGAGCATCTGAAGCCTGCAGATTTCTTGAAGACTGCAGCCCCTCATCCTTCTCATCTAGGCTAGAGGGTGGCTCAGGGATGGCCTGCTTACTACTTGTCATTTTAGAAAGAAACTCATGGGGCTGGGAAGGAAGTGTGCACTGCCTGAAACAAGCACCTCAGGATCCGCAGCTTGGGTTGCGCTTCCTCCCTCCCCTCAAGGCTGTGTTGCGCACGTTGGCTCTGCACCACCCTGTGGCTGCCGGGGTATGAGTATGAGCAATGGCAGTTCTGGGCGCATCTCTTATCGGGAAGAGGTGGAGCACCTAAATCACAAAGCCATTGGTGCTCCAGTTCTCAGTAACTCTAGCCCTCTGATAAAGTGGAGGAGATAAGAAAGCCAAATAACATTTATTAAGCATCTGCTGTGTCAACTGTGTAATAGTGGAAAGAGGTCTATCCCAGCTTCAAATCCTGGATCCATCCCTTACTTTAATCTGTAAGGTCTTGATAGAGCTGCCCAACCCATCTGAGCCCCACAGTCTTCATTTGTGAAGAAGGGAAGCATGCTTGTTCTAAGAACTCCTGCAGAAGTGGAGTGACGTACCCAGCCTATAGCTTGAGGGCAGAGTCCCAGTTTGCTTACCTAATATCCATGCCTGTTCCTCCTCCTTCCCATCAAAACACTTCTGAATCTCACTGAGAAGATGCTGCACAGGCTTGAGTGGAAGATTTCCAAGTTCTGTTGAGGCTCTTCTAGCTGTTCGGAAACTTGCCCATAGTTCAGGAGAGGGTTTGCAGAGGTATTGGGGTGCCCATGATTTCACATAGGCTGGAAATGTGCTTACACTATTTTCTTTTCTTTTCTTTTTTGAGATGGAGTCTCGCTCTGTGGCCAGGCTGGACTGCAGTGATGTGATTTCGGCTCACTGAAACCTCTGACTCCCTGGTTCAAGTGATTCTCCTGCCTCAGCCTCCCGAGTAGCTGGGATTACAGGCGCGCACCACCACACCCAGCTAATTTTTGTATTTTTAGTAGAGACGGGGTTTCACCATGTTGGCCAGGATGGTCTCGATCTCCTCATCTCATGATCCACCCGCCTTGGCCTCCCAAAGTGCTGGGATTGCAGGCGTGAGCCACTGCGCCCGGCCCCTGTGCTTACACTATTTTCTTTGCACAGTGAGCGGAGGGAAACAAAGGACACGAGGCAGATGTCATGTGGCTTAAGGTGGCATGGAAGAATAGGAAACGTCTTCCCGAATGCGGGCGTTCTCAGACCACAGAGGCTTAGGGAATGGCTCTTGAGGCTATTGGAAAGTAGCAATGGGGAATTCTAGGCTTTTCCCAAACAGTCTGATCAGACCTTCAGGGGCTTCTGTCACCCGTGTACTTTTCTCTCCTTTTTTGGTGGCAAAGTAGACATTGCATATTTGCCACTTTAACCATTTGCGATATACAAGTTCAGTATTAAGTCCATTGGTGGTGTTCTGCCACCACCATCCATCTCCAGGGCTTCTTCCTCTTCCCCCACCGAACCTCCGCACGCCCTAACACCGGCTCCCTCTCCCTCCCACCCCCGGCCCTGGCAGTCACCATTCCACCTTCTCTCCAAGACCCTGACTCCTCCAGGGGCCTCATATCAGTGGAATCACACAGTTATTCATCTTTTTGTGGCTGGCTTGTTCACTTAGCGTGCTGTTTTCTGGGTCCACCCCTCTCAGGGATGTGTCCAAATACACTTTCTTCTTAAGGCTGCATCACTAACATTGTGTGTCTACACCGCACTGTGTCCCTGCACTCATCCATCTGTGGATACTTGAGTTGCTTTTTACATTGCTATGAACATGCGTGTACAAGCCCCTGTATTTTTAAAACAATGTGGTTTAAAAAATGGTTTTCAGCATACACCCATTGTTATAAGTGGCCTGTGACTCTGTCCAAGATAGTTTTAAAAAATTATGTCCTTTAAATTGGGAACCAAGGCCTTTCACTGTCTTCATGAGCAGCAGTTGCATGTTATGCCCAGGCACCCGTGGTGACTTCGTCTGAGTGGAGGCAATTGCAGCGCCTGGCACTGATGTCTCTCCCAATGCACCTGGGCGACTGTGCGCGCTCCCTGCCTGGCTGACTGAGGTGTGACTAATGGTTTCTCTCTTCTCGTACCCTGCCCTCCCCGCCTGTGCCCTGTCCCTGTCCCTCCTCTCCACCCCTGCCCCTCCTCTCTGCCTTCTTTTTGCTGGCGCCTCCCGCTCTCCAGTGCGACCAAGACCAGTGCATTCAGAGCACCAAATTCGTTTTGCAGGCCGCGGCCACGCCCCTGCTGCAGAGTGAACCTAGCCTCACTAGCGACGAGCTGCACCTCCCCGGGAAGCCCGGCCTGGGCACGCCCTGCGCCAGCCTCACTCTGGGCCCGCCCACGCCGCCCGCCTCCATGCCCAACCTAGCCGAGGCCGCGCTCGCAGACGTGATGCCCCGAAAAGACGAGCACATGGGCCACCAGTTCCTGACGCCTGATGAGGCGCCCTCGCCCCCCAGACTGCTGGCGGCGGGCAGCCCCCTGGCACACAGCCGCACCATGCACGTGCTGGGCCTGGCCAGCCAGGACTCCCTGCACGAGGACTCCGTGCGCGGCCTGGTGAAGCTCAGCTCCGTGTGACCCACGTGGCCCTGGGCCAGAGGGCACCAGAGGCTCCTCCACGAGCAGCAGGAGTGAGCAGAGGGGTGTGCCCCACGGCGACTTTCCCAGCCACTGCCACAGTGGAGATGACGGCCCCAGGTCTGGGATACAGAGACCACTTAGAATGGCACAGGGCAGCCGGCCCTGGATGCTGAGAGCCTGGTTTCATTTGAACTTGCTTCCCCAACCTGAGTGCTTTGACAACAATGAAAATAGAGAAATGGCTGCTTTCTTATGATGGGCCTGGGGACGGGGACCCTCCAGGGGTGGAATTGGAGTGCATCTGCCGCCCTTGTGATAGACACATGGAAGGCTTCTGACGCTTATGGCCTGACTGCAATTGCACTTACGTGTTATGCTACTAATATTTGAAACAGACATGCCATTCCATTTGTTAATTAAAAACAAAAATCCTAAAGGGAAGAGCCGAGCAGGTGTGGATCTGCATGCCATGCTGCCGTCTGTGTTAAGTGGTGTTGCTGTTTCCAAGGAAGTGCTGCTTCCTCTCTTTTTTTAATTTTGTGAATTTTTTAGTGCTGTTTTGTTGGAAGACAGTGCAACGAACTGAGACTCATGGACAGTGTCATCACTCAGCTTATTGGGCTGAGGCGTCTGTGGAGAGGGGGCACCGGGGCTGCAGAGGGCAGCTGGGGTCCACCGTGTCGGGGGTCATTTCACCTGCCTGGCCGCCCCATGAGTTCGTGTGTTGAGGTATTGCGTGAGGCCCCAGCACGGTCTTCACCTCCACGTGTGATGAAACTTCCCGTGGACAGCCAATAAAATCACATCCTCTGTTATTTTGGATCTGCGTAGTTATCCTTAATAACATAAATGAAAACAAAATCATCCAGATGGAGAGAGCTTTTCTTGAAATATCCCTAGTGAGGAATGGTCCCTGAACAAGTACATCTTTGAACTGGGAGATATTTATAGAATGATTTCTTAGATAAAAGGTGAGCTTTCCATCATTATTTTTCTTTATCTCTTTTTGATGCCATCTTAGTGGAATTGGCTTTAGGTTTGCTGTTTGCCGAGCAGCAGTTAATCAGAAGTAGGTGGGGCAGGCGACACTCAGGGTGAAGGGGTCTGTTGGGTGTCTTCTGGGCTTCCTTCTGTGTTAACGTGTCTCTGAATCCCAGAAGTGCAACTTGAGGTCCTTGTAAATGAGGAGGAGAAATCGGCTTACAGTTTGGGCTGAGCTCATGTAGGTTGTCATCCTTCCCTAGACACTAATCAGAATGAAATTAAGAAAATGACCACTTTGTTCACTTTCATTGATCACCTGGAAGGGAAGGAGCTGGCTCTGGACTTAGGGAGTGTGTCACTATGGAGGCGGCCGCAGGGGACACGGCACCTCCTCTCCCGACTTCTTTCCAGATGATAAATCTAACTGCTAAGGCTACTCAAGTTCAAAGCCATGCCCTTGCTCCTTAGAACCATATGAAAGACAACACGCATTGACCATTGATACAGGAAACCCCAAATGTTTTGCATTTATGGAAAAAGGCTATTTCTCCTGAGAAAGAGTTGCTATTTTATCTAAAAGAAAAGGAAAGAAGATAGGAAAAAGAAAAGCACACGTTTTATTTGGAATGAAGGTAATTCACGCCAAAAGGCCTGCAGAGTTCTTGCTGTGTGAGATCTTCGAGCCATCTTTATTTTTCACACTGCATGCACGTATAGAAAATGGAATAGGTCCATTCTATGTAGTCATCTTCAATTTTCTGGACCACCTAACTACTTGTACCTGCCTGCAATTTGCAACTAATGGGGCAGTGCCCTCCTTACAACTCACAGGTATCCTCCTTGCCCACACTACCTGTGAGCCCAAAGTGGCAGCCCCACAAAGGAGCTTCCACAACTTCCCAAACCATCTCTGCTCCTTGCTCCCTTCCACCTGCTCCCCAGAGGCCCCAGGAAAGAGTTGGCCCTGATGAGAAGGGTGCTCCCTGGGTGACCACAAATCCGGCTCAGCTCTCATTCTGGTCCCACGTGTGGCCCAGTCCATTCCCACCTCCCTCCCCTGGAAGGCAAGGCCATGACCTTCAGAGGCCCCGCTTCTAACACTTCCTTTCAGTGGTTGCTGCTGTGCTGTGACCAGCCCTTCTTCTCACCTCATTATGAAAAAATCCCAGAAGCCAGGATCACGACTCACTTGTCTTCACATAATGAATGTTTACTTAATATTTATTATCAATTTCCCCACCTCCAACCCTGTCCCTGGCACACACTTGGCTTCATTTATCCAGTAGGGGATTGGGAATTTTAGTGAAATGAATCCAGGCTTTTCAGGGTCAAGAGGGAGATTAACTTGAATGGGCCAATTTGCTAGATAATTAATGGCTTAAAAACCAAAACCAGAGAGAAGCCCAAGCTCTGTCCTCTGTGGCTTGAAAAAGTAATCCAGCATCAGAGGAATAAGCGATGATACCGCCAGGGGTGCCCACTTCTGGGCAGGAGGGATGGTCGGAGGGGTGGCTCACCCGGTGAGGTGATGACTCTGCATTTCCCGCAAACATATGTGACATGTACATAAATATATATACTTATGTTTATAAATATCGAATGGTTCCAGCTAGCTGTGGCTGAGAAGACCTTGGTGTTTCTAAACTCTTTCAGTGTGTTAGCGATTAATTACTTGCTAGCTATAAAAAGTAAAATAAATATTTTACCATGCTATTAAAGCGTGGAGACCATTATCAAACACACACAAACACGCACTCATTCTGCTGTTTGAAAATCCATCTGCGTTCATTCTACCAGGAGTGCCCGGGGGACCACAGGCTTCCCAGCACGTGAAGGCTGAACCAAGCCTGAGTGCCCTGGTCCCCAGCAAGCAGGACACACTGCTGGAAGGTGGCAGACAGCCTATATCCGAGAGGGCATGGCAGCCTGTCACTCTGTTCTGCAGAAATTGGCCCAGCAATTGCATTGTGCCCAGTTGAAAGATGCTCATTCCAGCTTTCGAATGTGATGATTTCAGCCTGTGAGGACGATGCCATATCCCCACACTAAGCCAGCAAAATGCCAAATTGCTGTCTGGCCCAGAATGGCACAAGGGAGGAGTCTTTTCAGAGCTCTACCCCACCCCTAAGCTTACTGCAACCTTCACCTGTTGTGTCCAGGATTGCTGGCTGGGGTTCCAAGTGAGGAGCAAACCCATTTTATGAGCCATGTTCCTGTGGGGACCTGATGGGCTGGGCCCTCTGTAGCTTTGAAAGCTCCTAAGCTCTGTACACCCTGGGCCTGGGTCTTCGTGCCTGACTCAACAGCAAGAAAAATGAACTTGCCACAACTGGCAGTAGGTGTCCTTGGCACAGGGGCTTGTGATGGTATTGCCCAGGAAATTCTGGATCCAGAACTGGGCACAGCCTGATGGGCTACTCCCCGAGGGTCTCAGGTGTCTGCCCACCCTCCTACCCCGCAGCAAACGCTTCTCTATCACCTGACTTCTCCCTTCGGACCTCAGCCCACAACCATCCTCCTCATGCCGGAACCAACTGCTGCTCAGCCTCGGCTCAGGGTTTTGAGTTCACTGGAAGGGATCATGGGTTTGCATTAATATTATGAGGAATCTTCCCAGAGGGAACTGCCCTCCATTCATCCACAAGAATACACTGTTTAGTCCATTTAGTTCTTGACCAGGTAAGAAGAGAATAAAGGAGAACAACTATTAGATACTCTTCTAATGAATGCCTTACTACTGTTTTGAAGCTGAGCCGAAATCAAATTGATGTTTACATTTTCTATCACGTACATAGGAGCTGTGGAGTCTAGCATTTTCTTGTCCAAAAGAGAGAGACTTTCAAAAGAATTCATATTCCTCCTGGTCCTTCCACCCATTCTGGAGGTCTGTGTGTGGCACTGTATGCCATTTTCCAAGGTACCTCATTTTAAAAAAACCTGCCTCTCATTTGTTCCCTTAAAACATCTCTCTCTCTCTCTCTCTCTCTCAAAACTAAGTTATTGAAATATTAAGCGATCTGAAGCGTCTTTTTTTCCAAATAAATGTCAAAGATGGTAATAGTTTGTAAATCATTAAATCCTCTGTCCTTCTGCCCGTTGTCCATGGTCCTGATAATAGAGCCAAGATGGATTTTCACATGTAAGTGGCTAGTCCATTAATCCAGCCATTAAAAATAGTTAGGAGATTGAAGATTAGATGGTTTCTGGAGCAACAGAATTTGCAGCTGCCGCAAAACTAGATAAATGGCCACAACTGGAGTTATTTTTTGATCTCATAAACCCCAGGAATTACATACAGAATGGATTGAAAAGCAAACGAGCGTCATGTGCTGTTGCAGAGACTTTTCTACCCAGCAAGTGTTGAATTTTTAAAAGAAACTTGATATTGGTGTTGAAGATATAAAGGAACAACTCTCACTTGCCCTCGATGTTTTCAGATGCCTAGTGAAACTGAGAGGACACATGGCATATCCAAGGAGACGTGTTTTCTATGTTCTGTATGAATAGAGATGGTTTTAGCCTGCAATTAAAAAAAACACACACACACAGGTGAAGCCTTGCTAACCTTTTCCCCAGAGCATTATGAGTTGATATTTCACAGTCAAATGTTTGCCATGAAGAACAAAAATGTATTTTAAACTCTTGGTGAATTCAAAGCCCTAAATCCAAACAATGGTGAACACATGAACATAACATTTCATGTTTTCAGAGATATGTATACTTATTTAAGTGCCTTTCATGTTTTAATCAATGTTTGCAGAATTTATCTTAAACCTGAACCCAATTGAAAAAGCATTTTCCTCCTTCAATAAATACTAATGGCATAAAATGTAAATTTTAGTCTTTATAACGTAGATATCATCTTGGTCAACAACATGTAGGGAAGGGTGAAATCCACTTGCCCTCAATGAATATGCACGGTGTGGACACCCATCTGTATAAATGGAGTGTGAGTTTTCTCACCACAGACATCCAGATTGGTTTCCTCAGCTATGGTTCTCAACTGTTTCATTTCTACTTAGAGCAATGCAGAAATTTAAAGCCCCTAATCCAGCATGTTCTATATGCCACCTTTAAACATACACGCACACACCAGCCTCACCAGATAGGAATTGTGTTTGGCTACTCATAACAAAATCCCCCAAATAATAGCAGCTTAGGAAAAGAAATATCTTTTCCGTTATGCAAAGCAAGTGCAGAGGTAAGGCAATCTAGGGGCATTGTGGTGGCTCTACAGTGTTGTCAATGTCCTGCCTTCCTTCTCTCTGTTCTGCCATTCCTAGCATTGGCTTTCATCCTCAAGGTCACTTCATGGTCACAATATAGCTGCTACAGCACCAACTATCAAAGCCATATCCTTACGTTTTGTATTAAGTACATATGAGCTGCACATATGAGTCTAGCATGTTCTTGTCCAAAAGAGAGAGACTTTCAAATGAATTTCTATTCCTCCTGGTCCCCACCACCTATTCTAGAGGTCTGTGTGTCATTGTATGCTGAAAGGAGAAATGGGGAGGAGCAAAATGGGTGCAGACGCTTAGGACTGCTCCCTTTAAAGAGCATTCTCAGAAACCCCAACCTATGATTTTTCCACGATCAAAGTTGAGTCACGTAACCACTGAGGAGGGTGGGAAGCATGGCGTTTTAGCTGGGCACATTCCTGCTCCAAATAATACTGGAGTTCTGTTGGTAAGGAAGAAGGGGGAAATGAGCGTTCACTAGATAATCACAATGGAAAACTACATCTCCTCCCTCAGTGCAAAAGAGCGACCCTCAGCTAGAGTTCTGTCATCCTTCTGTCCACCAAAAAGCTCTGCCTCATCCATCTACT